ATTGGCTATCTCGAGGGAACACACATGGCTATGCTTTCTGCTTGCAGCAGTGGAAAATTTTCTGCAAAGACAAGGTCATGCACAGGCGGTTATCTTGTTTGTTCAGCACTCTTTGTATTTTCTATCTTCCTTGCTGAGTCTGGACTCTGCCCTGAGTTCCTTGTTCCTCTTGGCTACTTTTATCTAATTCCGGGCCTAACAGATATAGCAGCATTAAACAACACACTAGATAAAATGGATTTAATTGATATTTATATAACATTTCACCCCCAAAAAGAAGTATATACATTCTTTTCATGTGCACATTGATCATTCTCAAAGACAGAACACATGTTAGGCCATAAAACAAGCTTTAACAAATTAAAAAAAAATTGAAGTCATATCAAGCATTTTCTCAAATCACAGTGGCACGAAATTAGAAATCAACCTTGATAAAAAGATTCAAAAACAGTCAAATAATTGGAGACTAAATACCATGTTATTAAATGATGGATAAGTAAACAAGGAAATCAAAAAATTCCTGGAAACAAATGAAGATGACCACACAATAACCTGAAACCTATGGGACACCATGAAAACAGTCCTGAGAGGGAAGTCCATAGCACTATAGGCCTACCTCACGTAGCAAGAAAAATCTCAAATAATCTAACACCACACCTAAAAGAACTAGAAAAACAACAACAAAGAAAACCCAGAGAAAGTAGAAGGAAATAATCAAAACTGGAGCAGAAATCAATGACACAGAGACTAAAAAAAAAAAAACAATACAGAAGATCAATGAAACCAGGAAATAGTTCTTTTAAAAGATAAATAAGATTGACCAACCTTTAACCAGATATCAGAAAAAGGAGAGAGAGAACCCAAATAAATGAAATCAGAAATGAAAGAAACAGAAATGACAACTGATATCACAGAAATACAAGGTAAGAAATAACTACTTAAGAAATTACTATGAACAACTATATGTTAAAAAATTGTCAAACTAGGTGAAATGGACAAATTTCCAGAAACATACAACCTCCCAAGACTGAATCAGGGAGAAGCAGAAAACTTAAATAGACTAACAATGAAAAAAATTGAAGCAGTAATACAAGAACTCCCAGGACACAAAAGCCCTGGACCAGATGGCTTTATCAGTGAATTTACCAATCACTCAAAGAAGAACTAACACGTCTTTCTCAAACTCTTCCAAAAAATTTAAGAAGGGGGAAAACTTCCAGGCTCTTTCTATGAGGCCAGTATTACCTGAGTTCCAAAACCAGGTAAAGACACAACAAAGAAAGAAAACTACAGGCCAATATTGCTGATGAACATAGATGCTAAAATCCTCAACAAATATTAGCAAACTGGATCCAGCAATACATTAAAAATATCATTCACCATGATCAAGAGGGATTTATTTCAGGGATAAAAGGATGATACAATATCCACAAATCAATAAATGTGATACATCACCTAAACCAAATAAAAGACAATAATCACATGATCGTATCAGTAGATGCAGAAAAAGCATTTGATAAGGTTCAGTATCTATTTATGATAAAAACACTTACCAAAGTGGGAACAAAGGAAATATACCTCAACATAATCAAGGCCATATATGAAAAACCTACTGCCAATATCATATTCAATGGGTAAAAACTAAACACATTTTTTAAAATTTTTATTTAGTTATTTTTCAAGTATAGTTTTCTATTTCTCCCAGCCCAGCCCACCCCGCCCCATAAACACATTTTTTTCTTTTAAGATCAGGAACAAGACAGGGGTATCTGCTTTCACCAGTCCTACTCAACATAGTACTGGAAGTCCTAGCCACAGTGATCAGACAAGATGAAGAAATAAAAGGCACCCAAACTGGAAAAGAGGAAGTAAAGTTGTCATTATTCATAGAAGACAAAATATTGTACATAGAAAATTTTATAAGCTCCACCAGAAAAATACTCTACCTAATAAGTGAATTCAGCAAAGTAGCAGGACACAAAGTCAATATTCAGAAATCGATGGCATTTTCATACAACTATAATGAACAATCAGAAAAATTAAGAAAACAATCCCATTTCTATTGCAACAACAACAACAAAATAAAGTACCTAGGAATGAATTTAACCAAGGAGGTAAAAGACCTGTACTTAGAAAAATATAGGACACATAAGAAAGAATTTGAGGAAGATACAAATGGAAGCATGTACCGTGTTCACGGATTCGAAGAATTAACATCATTGAAATGTCCATAGTACCCAAAGCAATCTATAGATGCAAGGCAATTCCTATTAAGATACCAATAACATATTTCACAGATCTGGAACAAATATTCCAAAAATTTATATGGAACAAAAAATAACCTGAATAGCCTCAAGCAATCTTGAGAAAGAAGAACAAAGTTGGAAGGATTACATACCTGATATCAAACTATACTACAAGTCTGCTGTAACCAAAACAGTCTGGTACTAATATAAGAACAGACACATAGCTCAATGGAACAGAATAGAGAGACCAGAAACAAACCCATGTCTTTATGGTCAATTAATATTTGACAAAGGAGGCAAGAGCATACAATAGAATAAAGACAGTCTCTTCAATAACCGGTGTTGGGAGAACTGGACTGGTAATGCAAAAAATGAAACTAGACCACCATTTTATGCCATACACCAGCATAAACTGAAAATGGATAAAAGACTTAAATATAAATTGTGATACCATAAAAATCATAGAGGAAAATATAGGCAGTAAAATTTCAGGTATCTCATATAGCAATATTTTCCTGATATATCTCCTAGGTAAGGGAAATAAGAGAAAAAAAACAAACAAATGGAACTACATCAAGTTAAAAGACTTCACAGCTAAACAAACCATCATCATAATAAAAAGGGAACCGGCTGTATAGGAGAACACATTTGCCAGTGACATCAGACAAAGGGTTTAGTCTCTAAATATATAATGAACTTATATGACTCAACACTAGGAAGACCAGTAATCTAATTAAAAAATGGGCAAAAGATTTGAATATATACTTCTCCAAGGAGGACATACAGATGGCCCATAGACATATGAAAAAAATGCTCAACATCACTAGCTATCAGAGAGATGTTAATTAAAACCAGATGAGGTATCACCTCATATCTACCAAAATGGACATCATTAATAAATCAACAAACAAGTGCTGGCAAGGTCGTGGAGCAAAGGGAATCTTAGTTCACTGTTGGTGAGAATGCAGACTGGTGTAGCCACTATGGAAAACAGCATGAATTTCCTCAAAAAATTAAAAATGGAACTGCCTTTTGACCCAGTGATTCCACTGCTGGGAATATACCCTAAGGATCCCGAAACACCAATTCAAAAGAATTTATGCACCCTCATATTCATAGCATCACTTTTTACAATAGCCAAGATTTAGAAACAGCCTAAATGCCCATCATTAGATGAGTGGATAAAAAAGCTGTTACATCTACACAGTGGAACTCTGCGCAGCAGAAAGAAAGAGGGAATTCTTATCTTTGTATACAGCACAAATGGAACTGGAGACTATTTAGCTATGGGAAATAAGCCAGTTGGTGAAAGACAAATACTATATGAACTCATTTATTGGAGGAATCTAATGAAAAAAATGATAAACAAAAGAGAACCAAAGGCACAGAAAATCATGAAACAGACTGACAGCTGTAAGAGGATAGGAGGGAGTTGGGGACTGTTTAAAATAAGGTGAAGGGATTAGTCAAAAAACAAGTATTGTTTTTTGGGAAGGACCAATGGACAATGGTGAGGGGACTGATTATGGAAGTAGGGCATGGTCTGGGTGGAGGGGGGTGCAATAAAAATAAGATCAAAATCCTGAAAAGTCTTCGAAAATTATTCTCGCGTCTGGTGGATATAACAACAGCTTCCTTCATCAGTGAAAAGAGTTTGTCCCAAATACCATATGATCTCACCTTTAACTCAAACATAATCAACAAAAGAAAAAAACAAACAAAATATAACCAGAGACACTGAAATTAAAAACAATCTAACAATAGGCAGAGGGGACCAGGGAGGGGATAGTGCAGGGGAAGGGTTTTCAGGAACTAATATGAAGGACACATGGCCAAAACCAAGGGGGATGATGGAAGTAAGGGAGGGAGGTGGGTTTGGCTGGGGTGGGGGTGTTAGGGGGTGAGGAGAAGAGCCGAGATGTTTGCTTAAACTAGATGTTTATTTTTAGACTTAGGCAGAAAACCACACCTGGCCGTGGGCAGATGTTCCAGGGAGTTTAGCCAAGGCCTTGAAGTAATCTCTCGGACACCTGGACACCCGTTAGGGGGAAAATTTTTACCTCAAGACATGGCCTTGTCTTTGCAGAAAAGTATCCATTGTAGTAAGCAGAGATGTGTGTGTGTCCTCTCAAAATAGCCAATTGCTAACAGCTACGTCTGCTTCTGTATTTGCTTGCTTGCTTGCTTGCTTGCTCACCCCAATAAAAACCCCAGGCTGTAAGTGCCAGGCGCGACTCTCATTTGCAGCCATTTTGGCACTCGTGTGTCTCCGGAGGCACCCCGAGAGTTCGCCCCTGTGCAGGTAAAACTTTGAAACTTTGGCCAATAAAACACCTCTGACTACCCAGCAGTTTCCGACCCTTGCTTGCAAGGACGGGATGTAACAGGGGTAGTAGAGGGGGGAAAATGCAGACAGCTGTAATTGAACAGCAATAAAGTACTTTTAAAAAAAAGAAAGAAAGGTTTATCCCTTTAAAGCAAGCACCAGGAATCTCACAGCGGTTGCGGAGGGGCGGGAGCAAAGGAGATAGAAGGCTTCTACATCTCCAGAGAGAGTGGTTGAGAGTGCAGGAAATGTCAGCTGAAAGAGAAGTTGTATGACTAATTTTTTCTGCCCAAAGTATGTTCCAGGTTTTATCGCCCTCCTCCGCTACTCCGGGAACTGTGCCACTGAGTGGGCGGGGTGTTGACTGGAATAGGTGGTGCGGAACAGTTGTTTCCATTGGCTGTTGCTGTTTGCACTTTGTTGCAAACAGCCCGCCCACAGCCAATCCTTGAAAACAGCCAAAAGAGGAAAGTAGCCACCAGGTTTTAGCTGAAAAGTCTGCCTGGTGCTGTAAGAACAGTAGTGACATTCGGTATGAGACAGCAGAGCTCTCAGTTCTGAGCCTCAGCTTGGAGGCACCGGGCTCCCCAGTCCCACGCCTAGCAATTCCCAATGGCTAAGAAGACAGCAGAATCTGGCTTCTCCAAAGACAACTGTTGTTGCAGGATTTACTTGGACCACAGGGCCATGTTCTTTTCTCGAAAGGTGTTAACTTACGTGTGCTGTCTTTTGTCATTTTTTTCTCTAGGTAGGTTGTGTAGATAGACTCAGCCGAAGATCTCTGGAGACCATGACCAACAAAAGAATTGCTGTGATTGGGGGAGGTGTGAGCGGGCTCACATCTATCAAGTGCTGCCTAGAAGAAGGCTTGGAGCCCATTTGCTTTGAAAGGACTGATGATATTGGAGGGCTCTGGCGGTTCCAGGTAAATCTCCTGGTTTATTCAGACATTAGTAAACAATTAGGAGCATACAAGTAGGGGCATGTGAGATTTTATCTTGTGTCAGGGAATATGATGGCCTTGACAGTGGTTAAATGTGCTAGAATTCAGTCTGCTCACCTCTTCTCTGCAGCCATCACTTCTATACAGATTCCTCTTTCCCTAAGTTGGCAGCAAAATAAAATACAGGTATCATTAGTTTTTCTTTTACCGACGTCCCGAAAAATGGCACAAAGATAATTTCCTTTACTGAGTCTTGCTGCTATTCAGAAGAAGGGAGCCCTGGGTGGTGGTGAGGGGGAAACAAAATAACAAACAGAAAATGCACAGTGGTTAGAAAATTTAGAGTGGTTGTTCCTGGCCTGCATTAATAGGTAAGTGATGTAAAGTACCTGCTTACAACTCCTTCCAGGAATCTCCCCTTTTAATCTTCTCTAACCTTGTTACCTTTCTTTTCTTTCTTTTCCTTTCCTTTCTCTATTTCCTCCTTTCTTTCTTTCTTTCTTTCTTTCTTTCTTTCTTTCTTTCTTTCTTTCAATTCTGGTTCACCTTATATAATTCTCTCATAATCTTTGTCATTTGGTAGAATATGAAGTCTGGCCGCCTTCTTTCCTTTGAACTTTTCCTTCACTTGAGAAATCAAATCAGTAGGTCAAGCCCTACCTTCAGAAGAAGGTGGAAAACACTTGCACCTGACTTCTCTTGTCTTTGCAAATATTCAATTTTAAAGTTGAGTTACTGTAACATGCATATCCAGATCTGTAACTTGTTACTAATAGTTAAGGTATTATCTACTTCAATGATAGTTATGCTTATCATATGACAAATAATATTAAGCTCCTTTCCTGATCTCCAAAGTGACATGCATTGAGTTTGCTTTTAAACTCACTTTCTAAACCAGTGAATGGTATCGGGGTATCCATATGTGTTTTACATTTCATAAAAACTAACACAGTGTTGATCAGCTCCTTAAAAGAGGCTTCATAGCATTCCTTAGTTGAGCAGTACAGTTCTTTTGCATCTTGGGTCTGTCCTGGAGGACTAACTCTATTTAACAATAGTCCTTATTTAGTTCTAGAGTGGATACCCTTTAGCAAATCACACACCTCCCCCTATGCCTCTGCCATCATGAGTCTTGGGCACTGGCTGAAAAAGCTGTTAATTAGTATTTAGTAGTGAATAGAAAATTCTGTTTTTGAAATCCAGCCACAACATAGTGTAGAACTTAATAGCACAGTCTGGGTTCAGATTCTATGTCTGTACCTATTAGCAGTGTCATGTTGGAGAAAATCAGTAAACCTCTCTGTACTTCTGTTTCTTCATCTTTAAGAAGGGGAAAATAACAATACCCACTTCATAGAGTTATTGTGGAGATTAAGTGCATGAATAATTGTGTCAATTATTAATAACTGTGGTAGGTACAAAGTAAGTGGAGTGAGGCCCATGTATTTGGTGTCTCTGATAAGGATCCTAGCCAGATGTGGCAGCTACTTACCAGGTATGAAGTCAGCATTCCAGGGTCCACCACCCTACCTGATCATCGGATACTTGTCTTTTATCTCCAAAGTGGTTTAACCTTGTTCTCTGATAAAATCTTAACTTGAAATTTTTTTTCTAATTATCCTCTTGGCAAAATTTCAACACCTTATCAATTACTTTTTTGAAAATAAATAAGCTATATTTTATCATAAATCTATGACTTATGTTAAGACAGAACATATCTGTATCTATTATATTATATATCATACTTTACATATATTTTATATATGTGAGATATTATATATGTATGTATATGTGTGTGTGTGTATATATATATATATATATATATATATATATATATATATGTAAGAAATACCTGTTCTTTTGAGACAGATCCCAGGAATACAGGATGTATTTTTTTCTTCTCAAATAGCATCACTTGCATTTTCTCTTCTTGTCTCTGCTTCTTTTTCTCTATTCCATCCACCAAACAGGAGCAGGATTCATCATTTGCCACCTTCTTGTTATTGCTGAACGTTTCTAGTAATAATTATTCCCCCATACCTATGAGGGATATGTTTCAGGATCCCCAGTGGATGCCTGAAACCACAGGTAATACCAAACCCTATAGAAACTATGTTTCTTTCTTTCTTTTTTTAAATAATTTTTATTTTTATTTTTTTAAAGATTTTATTGATCTTTAGAGAGGAAGGGAAGGAGAGAAAGAGAGAAACATCAATGTGTGGTTGCCTCTCGTGAGTCCCCTGCCAGGAACTGGCCTGCAACCCAGGCATGTGCCCTGACTGGGAATCAAACCGCAATCGTGTGGTTCACAGGCCCGCACTCAATCCACTGAGCTATGCCAGCCAGGGCCATATGTTTTTTTCTATACATACATCCCTTTAATATAGTTTAATTTATAAATTAGGCATAGAAGAGATTAGCAACAATAATTAATAAAGTACTGCCATTATAATATACTGTAAAAAGGTTATATGAATGTGGCCTCTCTCAACATATTTTAATGTATTATACTTAAATTTTCACTTAAAGAAATCACTTATGGCTTCTCTTTGGCATATTCAAATTATCAGCAAAACTACTCTTAAACTTTGGAGCCATTACTAAGTAAAATACTGTTCCTTGAACACAACCACTGCAATACTTCTGATAGTCAATATGATAACCAGGATGGCTATAAACAACTAACTTGCAGGGAGCATATACAGTGTAGATATGATAAAGGGATGATTCCTGCCATGGGCAGGTCAGAGAAGGACAGAATGAGATTTCATCATGCTGCTCAGAATAGCACAAAATTTAAAACATAGGAATTGTTTATTTCTGGAATTTCCCATTTACTATTTTCAGACCAAAGTTAACTACAGGTAACTGAAACTGCAGAAAGCTGATAAGGAGGGACTACTATATATATAAGTTCTCAAGACATTAGTTTCCATCAATTCTTGATCTCATCACTAATGTTAGATATGATGGGAGGTGGAAAAGTACATTGTGTTAACTTACACTCTGTCCAGCATAAGTTTCAATTTTACTTCATTTTTGCTGACAATAATTGACATTTTAAAAAAGATTTTATTTATTTATTTTTAGAGAGAGGAGAAGGAGAGAGAGAAACATCAATATGTGGTTGCCTCTCACATATCCACTACTGGGGACCTGGCCTGCAACCCAGGCACGTGCCCTAGACTGGGAATCAAACTGGTGAACCTTTGGTTCACAGGCCCTCGCTCAGTCCACTGAGCTATGCCAGCCAGGGTGATATTTTTAAAAATTACATTATATTGTTTATGCTATTACAACAGTTGTCCCAGTTTTTCCTCCTTTGGTCCCCTCTACCCAGCTTCTACCCACACACTCCCTCAGGCAATCCCCACACCATCGTACATGTCCATGGGTCATGAATATATGTTCTTTGGCTACTCTATTGCCTATACTGTCCTTTATAGTCCCATGACTGCTAAGTAACCACCAATTTGTACTTCTTAATCCCTTTACCTTTTTCACCCATCCCCTTGACACCCCTCCATCTGTCAATCATCAAAACATTCTCTGTATCTATGATTCTGTTTTTGATTTGCTTGTTCATTTATTTTGTTTTTTAGAATCAGTTGTTGATAGATATGTATTTATTGCCATTTTATTCATATTTTTTATCTTCTTCTTAAGACCTTTAACATTTCATATAATACTGGTTTGATGATGATGAACTCCTTTAGCTTTTACTTATCTGGGAAACTATCTGTCCTTCAATTCTAAATGATAGCTTTGCTGGGTAGCGTAATCTTGGCTGCAGGTCCTTGATTTTTATCACTTTGACTATTTCTTGCCAATTTCTTCTTATTATTGTTATTATTTTTTAAATCTTTATTGTATTTTTTCATTACCTTTTAGTCCCTTTATACCCTTGTCTCCCCAGCAGTCAAGACATTGTTGTCCATGTCCATGTATCCTTTTTCCTTTTCACTCAATCCCTCTACCCCCTAACCTCCCCTGCCAACTAGCTTTCATCCTGCTCACCATCTATGAGTCTGTCCCCATTTTCCTTTTTAGTTCAGTTTGTTCATCAGATTCCACATACGAGTGAATCATATGGTATTTTTCTTCTTCTGACTGGCATATTTCATTTAGCATAGTGTTCTCCAGGTCCATCCATACTATCACAAAGGGTAAAATTTTCTTCTTTTTTATGGTCAAGTAGTATTCCATTGTGTAAATGTCCCATAGTTATTTAATCCACTCATCTATTGATGGACACTTGGGCTGCTTCCATATCTTGGCAATTGCAAATAATGCTGCAGTGAACATAGGGGTGCTGATGTTCTTTCAAGTTAGTGTTTTGGGTTCCTTCGGATATATTCCCAGAAGTAGGATTGCTGGGTCAAAAGGCAGATTCATTTTTAATTTTTTGAGGTATCTCCATACTGCTTTGCTTTAGCCTGAAAAGTTTCCATTGAGAAATCAGCTGACAGTCTTATGGGAGCTCCCTTGTAGGTAACTAACTTTTTCTCTCGCCACTTTTAAGGTTTTCTCTTTGTCTTTAACCTTTGGCATTTCAATTATGATGTGTCTCTTGGTGTAGACATCTTTGGTTTATCTTGTTTGGAACTCTGTGCTTTCTGGACTTGTATACCTATTTCCTTTACCAAGTTAAGGAAGTTTTCTGTCATTATTTTTTCAGATAGGTTTCTAATTTCTTGCTTTCTATTCTCCTTCCAGCAAATACTAGGGGTGCTGAAAGGAGAAAGTTGGTACATTTGGAAATTGTCCCATAGGCTCCTTACATTATCCTCATATTTTTTTAATTATTTTTTTTCTTGCTATTCTGATTGGTTGTTTTTTCTTACTTCTATTCCAAATCACTGATTTGATTATCACTTCATCCATTCTACTGTTGATTGCCTATAAATTGTTATTTATTTTCATTAATGTATCCTTTGCTTCTGACTGGATATTTTTATTCTGTTGAGGTACTTGCTAGTTCCTTGAGAAACATTACGGTTTTTTTAACTCTACACCTAGTAGATTGCTTGTCTCCATTTAGTTTAATGGGGTTTTTTTTTTTCAGTTTTGTTTTATTCTTTCATTTTGGATGTGTTTCTTTGTCTCCTCATGTTGGCAGCCTCCTTGCATTTGTTTCTGTGTATTAGGTAGAGCTGCTACAACTCCCAAGCTTGGTAGAGTGGCTTAGTGTAGTAGGTGTCCTGTAGAGTCCAGGGCATAGCCTCCCCTATTACCCAAGCTGGGTACTCAAGTTATGCTCACCATGTATCTTGTGTATACCCTCCTATAATAGGTTAGCCTTGATTGCCGTTGGCACATCCAAGGTCAGGCACCACCTGTGTTCTCCCTAAGATCACACAGCATAAGCTGCAAAGTGATTTGCAGATGGCTGCTACTTGTGCTCCTTGGAGGTGCCCAGGTGAGGCTAAACTGTGACCCAGACTGGCTGCTGCTAGTGCTGAGCCTTAGGCAACTTAGTGAGGGGTATGGGGCTCTGTGGCTTTGTTGGAGAAGGCTCCGAAAATGAACAGTGGCTTTTGCCAGCACTTCTGTCTGGGAGAAAGCTGCCCTCCAGCTCTTGCCCTAATACTAGACAATTCAGTTCCTTCTTGTATGCTTTGATACCTTTTGGTCTGCTGTCCCATGCTGAAGCTCAGAGGCAGTAAGTCCAAGTAAGTCTTTGCATCTTTAAGCTGAACTGCCTGAGAATCCCACAGTTTCTGTCTCCCACAGCCTCATTCCCCACAAGATTTTGCCAGAAATTATGGGGACTTATATTTCTGGCACTGGAATCCTGAGCTGAGGAGGCTAGTATGAGGCTGGGACCCCTTGCCCCTGAGATAACCCTCCTGATTTTTATCTGCCATATGTGGGTGAGGGACCAGCCTGTTCCATGTCCACCCCTGCTATCAGTCTTAATGCAGTTTCTTCTTTAATTTTGTATTTGGTTTCTTCTTTAATTCCATAGTTGTAGGACTTTCATTCAGCTCAATTTCTGATGGTTCTGAATGATGGTTCTATAGTTTAATTATAATTTTATTTTGATGTGGTTGCGTGAGGAGGAAGCCATGTTTATCTGTGCTGCCATCTTGATGGGAAGTTCTGTAATTTTCTTTTAAATTAGTAAAAATGAGGTAAAACAGGAACATATACTGGACAGAATTTAAGTTAGTACAATGATTCCTAGAGAGAAATCTCGTAAGTATATGAAAACCCTCAAAACTCACCTAGGCTTCGAGATACATAAAATAGTTAATGTTATTATTCAGATGGGCAGTTCTTACTTGGAATTTCAGGTCATTGTAATCAGGTGACAACTGCAACTGGACATCTGCTATAGTCTCTTTGCTCACACATTTAGAGCTTCAACTGGGATAAGTAGAGAATTTCTGGGAGCTGGTTGCACATCTCTCTATCCCATTCATTCTCTTCATGTGACTAACATGGATTTCCTCACAGTATGATAGTCTCAGAGTAGCTGGACTTTTTACATGGCTGCTGACTTCCACCAGAGCAAGCTTTCTAAGAGACCTAGGCAGAGGCTGAAAGACTACTTATGGCAGTCTTTGAAGCCATTCAGTATCATTCCAACTGCATGCTGTTGGTCAAAAGCAAGTCAAAGGCAACTCATTCAAGGTGTGTGTGTATGTAACTTTTTTTAATGACATTTCTTTCAGAGACTTTTTGAACTGTTTGTCAGCTGTTTATAAAACATGAAGTTAATTATGTAGTGCCTCTGAATACATCTTATTTACTGCAGGAAAATCTTGAAGAAGGAAGGGCCAGTATTTACAAATCAGTGATCATCAACACTTCTAAGGAGATGATGTGCTTCAGTGACTATCCCATCCCAGACCATTTTCCTAACTTCATGCACAACTCCCAGGTCCTGGAATATATCAGGATGTATGCCAAAGAATTTGACCTTCTAAAGTACATCCAATTGAAGGTAGGAGATTTTGTGGGTATCTGTGTTTAGAGTTGTTTGTCAAGTAAATGAATTAATGTGGCTTCATTTATCAGTGCTTTCATATAAATATTGGTTTGATACCACATGTATCTATCCTATTTGGACAGAGAATGCACTCTTTGTCTTCTGTGTGTCTGAAAAATATTCAGAGAAAAGTCCTCCTTTTATGTATTCTGGCTGCAGCTCTAGGAAGCCACAGGCCAGAATGTTTTCATTGTATACTATTACATTGTAATAAAATAAATAAGGGGAATGTTTTCCCAGTTAGAAAGGGAATACTGACAGACATAGGAACTTTAAAACTCTCTGGTTCCACAACTCGTCCACTAGTGCTTAGCCCTCTTATACTTAATGAATAGTTTCCAATGCAGTATTTGTGATCACAACAACCCAATGAAGTAGATACTGGGAAGTTATTGAGAAAGCAAAGAAGTTAACACTGGTGAAAAGGGAAGAACAGTGAATAGGGCAACAAAAACTTGAATTCTATTCTATTTTTTGTTACTAATTAACTTAGACAAGTAAGTTCCTCAGTTTCCATGTATCTTAATTTTCTTTTCTGTAAAAGAAGATGACTGTACTAGATCATTCAATGGTTTCTTTCTGCTGCAACATCTTCCATGACTTTTCTATCATTTTAGCCATGGCCATAAAACAGCAGATATTTCTGACAGCGGCAAAAAGCCTCAGTCTTCTACCATTTTTTCCTTTGTGATGAAAACTCTGAGGACTCACTCTCTCAACAACCTTCAAACATACCATATAGCAGTATTAACTGTAGTTACATATAGTGCATTATATCCCCAGTACTAATTTATCTTTTAACTTGAATTTTGTACCTTTTGACCACCTTAATTCAATTTTCCTACCCCCATCTCTTTTGTATTGGGTTGGCCAAAATGTTCATTTAGTTTTGAAGTAAAAATAAAACACACATCCTTTTTCATTTTGACCAATAACTTTATTAATAAACAAAATTCACCATATTGTTCCACTACCTTCTGCCATCTTTCAGGCAACTTCATAATTCCATCTTCCCAAACATTTATGTTTCTGAGCAAAGAACTGTTTCAGGTGCCTTTTGCAGCCTTCTAGGGAATTGACTTTTTTTCCATTAGAATTTTGTAAAGACCAAAATAAATGGAAATCCAAAGGTGATATGTCTGGTGAATATGGTGAATGAATCATAACTTCTCAGCCAAGCTGTAACAATTTTTGTCTGGTAATCAAAGAAACATGCAGTTTTGTGTTACCATGATAGAAGATTATGTGTTTTCTGTTGACTTATTCCAGACACATTTTGTCAAGTGTTGCTTTCAGTTGGTCTAACTGGAAGCATTGCTTGTTTGAATTAGTCATTTGGTTTTCTGGAAGGAGCTCATAATAAAGGGCTCCCTTCCAATCCCACTATTTACATATCACCTTCTCTGGATGAAGACTGGTCTTTGGTGTGGTTGGTGGTAGTTTGTTTCACTTGCCCCACATTCTCTTCCATTCTAATTATTGTAACCTATCTACTTTTTAATCACCCATCACAATTTATTTTAAAAGCAGAATGTTTTCATTATGTTTAAGAAGAGAATTACATGCAGAAATATGGTCAAGAAGGTTTTTTTTTTCACTTAATTTATGTGGAACCCAAATATCAAAGTGATTAACATAACCAAGCTTAAGCAAATGATTTTAAACACTTGATTTAGGTATTTTGAGTATGTTGGCTGTGTAGTATAACACTGATTGTTCTCGATGCACAACTTAATTATTCTCAATCAATGTTTTGATTTGATCTCTGTCAACTTCAACTGGTCTACCTGACCGTGGAGCATTGTCCAGCAAGAAATCCCCAGCACTAAACTTCACAAACCACTTTTGACACATTTCGTCAGTCATAGCACCTTCTCCATACACTGCATAAATCTTTTATGTATGTTGTGTTTTTACCTTTCTTAAAATAGTAAAGCATAATATGCCGAAAATGTGTATTTTCTTCCACCTTTGATATTAAAATAGCTATACAAAAATTCACCAATTTTAATTTTTTTACAAATGCACATTGATATGACAGCTGTCACAATACAATCTAACAAAATTGTTTTGAATGAAGTTAAAGACAACTAAGTTCTACTAGACTCATGTTACAGAAAAAAAATAAATGAATGAACTTTTTGGCTAACCTCTCTCTCCCTCCCTCCCTCCTTTTATCCTTTCTTCCGTTCCTCCTTTCCTTCCTTCTTCCCTTCCTCCTTTCCTTCCTTCTTCCCTTCCTTTCTCACCTGAGGACATTTTTTCACTGCTTCAAGAGAGAGAGGAAGGGGGGAAGAGAGAGAGAAAAAAAGAAACATCAGCATGAGAGAGAAACATTGATTGGTTGTCTCCTGTATTTGCCCCAACCAGACATTGAACATAAAAACTAGGAATATGTCCTGCCTGGGAATTGAACTTGCAACCTTCCAGTGTATAGGACGATGCTCCAACCAACTAAGCAAAACCAGTCAGGGCCTCCCTTCTACTTTCTGATCATTCTGCTAAATCATGCCTTTTTCTGTTTTAACTACAATAAAAATGGTAATACCCAGTGACAACTTCCAAAATAAGTCATTTACAGCCCAGTAGTACTTTTCTTCACTTGTTTAAACACTTGCTGAACAAGTTTGTTACCATTCTAAGCAGTGAAGGTACAAAGACAAAAATGAAACAAAACAAAATAAGGCCAGTGATTTTATAGTCAAGGAGGTAGGAAAATGAAGAAAATTTTATTATAAATACAATTAATAAAAATAAAGAATGTTGATCTTAAAAAGTCAGATATTTCTCCAGCTAAATAGGTTTAATTGAGTACAACAAAGAATTTCAATCCAGAACATACAACCATGGTGGCCCACATGCAAATCCACTAAAGCAAAGAAGAGGGAACTCTTTTAGAGAGGGGAAGAAGTTGAGAGGGCTGTTACACAGTTATCTATGTTGTGTCTCATAATTGACATAGGGCATGACAGCTCCCCTTCCTGCCCCATCCTACTTTATTTTAAATGAGATTTTTGTTGACTTCTTAAAAAACAAGCATTACAGGGTAAGAAATGCTATAGAGTTCTATATATTGCAGCTAAGAGGAGGGATGCTTAAGCCATCTGGGTATGAGACATCAGGCACCACAAAAGTTTTCTTAGAGGAGATAGTATCTAAAGGAAATGTTGAAGGGTGAGCAGGAATCAGCTAAATGAAGAAGAAATAAAAGGACGATCCAGATAGAAGCACTAGCCTGTGTAAAAGGAAGAACTATAAATAGTGCAGGATGGCTAGAGTATAAAAATGTGGTATCTCTATTAGTCTACCAAGACATTATGGTCATAGACCCTAGAAGCACACAGGAGCACATTCTTAATGTTTTGTTAGGCTGAATAGAGTAACCTGGATAATTTTATTTTTAAAAACTAAAAACTATACCACCTACTATCCCTTCTCACAGCGTATTCTTTGATTGGTACTTGTAAAATAGGCTTTTATGGGAGCCAAAGAGAGGTTCATTTCCATAAAATTTTATTATGGAAATGAAATACTGAAATATTTTTTAATTAATTTTTTTATTGATTATGCTGTTACATTTGTTCTATTCCCCCCATTCATTCCCCTCCACCCTACCCCCCTTCGTCCCCACCATTACCTGCCCTTTAGTTTATGACCATGTGTCTCAAGTTCTTTAGATTCTATATTTCCCATACTATTCTTGCCCCCCCCCATCTATTTTCTATCTACTGTCTATGCTACTTGTTTTCTGTACCTTCTCCTCCTCCCACTCCCCTGTTGCTAACCCTCCATGAGATCTTCATTTCTATGGTTCTGCTCCTGATCTAGCTGTCCTCTTAGTTTGCTTTTGTTTTAGGTGTGGTTCTTAATAACTGTGAGTTTGCTGTCCTTTCACTGTTCATCTTTCTTATCTTCTTTTTCTTAGGTAAGTCCCTTTAACATTTCATATAATAAGGGCTTGGTGATGCCGAACTCCTTGAATTTGATCTTATCTGAGAAGCACTTTATCTGTCCTTCCATTCTAAATGAAAGTTTTGCTGGATAGAGCAATCTTGGTGGTAGGTCTTTAGATTTCATGACTTGGAATACCTCTTTCCAGCCCTTTCTTGCCTGTAAGGTCTCTTTTGAGAAATCAGCTGACAGTCTGATGGGAACTCCTTTGTAGCTGACTGTCCCCTTATCTCTTGCTGTTTCTAGGATTCTCTCCTTCATTTTAATCTTGGCTAATGTAATTCTGATGTGGCTTGGTGTGTTCCTTCTTGGGTCCAACTGTTTTTGTACTCTCTGAGCTTCCTGGATTTCCTGGAAGTCTGTTGCCTTTGCCAGATTGGGGAAATTCTCCTTTATTATTTGTTCAAATAAGTTTTCCACTGGTGGCTGTGCCTTTCCCCCTTCTGATACCTCTATAATTCGGATGTTGGAGCGTTTAAAGATGTCCTGGAGGTTCCTAAGACTCTCCTCATTTTTTTGAATTCTTGCTTCTTTACTCTTTTCTGTTTGGCCATTATTTTCTTCCTTCTGGTTCACTCCCTTGATTTGAGTCCCAGTTTCCTCTTCATGAGGTTTCATATTGGTTTCCTGTGCAATTCCCTTCATTTCAATTAGTTTAGCCTTCATATGTTCCTCTAATTTGTGACTATAATCAACCAATTCTGTGAGTATCCTGATCACCAGTGTTTTGAACTGTGCATCTGAAAATTTTGGTATTTCTTGGTCGCTTAGATTTATGGGCTCTGGGGCTTTGAGATCTTCTTGAGCCATTTTTGGTCTGTTCGCGCCTGTTAATTATGAGGAGCAGAGCCTTAGTTGTTTACCAGGGCAGGGCCACCCAGGCAGCTGGGTTGTGACGCTGTATGTGGAGGCGGGGTCAGAGTGGGGAAATGGCGGCCCCCTCTGCTTCCTCTTGCCCCTGGGGCCTGCCACCCACTTTCTCGTTGGTCTATCTGCACACAAATGCAGGACCACAGTCAACCCGCCGCCCTGCACCCTCGCTGGGTATGCAGGTCGCTCACTGGGTCACTCACTGAGTAGCTCACTGGGTCCGCCCATTGCAACCCCATGCCTGGGATCTGTGCGCCTGAGTCCATCTGACTGAGTTTTCCTGTGCAACCCTGCTCTGCCAGCTACTGGCTTTGCCCCGCTTACTGATGAGGCTGAAGAATTTGTTGTTATCAGACTTCCAAAAAGTTCAATTTTCTGTGTTCTGGCTGTGTTTTTTGTTGCTAATATTTTGTTGTCTCTCAACTTGGTTGTGGGAGAAAGCACGGTGTCTCCATCTATGCCTCATCTTGGTGAAAGACTTTGTGTCACATTCTGGCAGGAGACTCAGGTCAGGGAAGATGTCCACTTTAAAGCTGTGGTTACCGTCCCCTGTAGCTATCGCTTTTCTTTTCAGACTACTGTGTGCAGTGTAAAAAAGCAACCTGATTTCTGCACTTCAGGCCAATGGGAAGTGGTCACAGAATCTGAAGGGAAAAAGAAGGTGAATGTCTTCGATGGAGTCATGGTTTGCACTGGCCATCATACCAATGCTTACTTACCACTGGAAAGCTTCCCTGGTGAGTAGCCTACTGGGAAGGAAGATGTTTGAACCATGCCAATGACCTGGTCCCTAAAGAATGAGGGGAATTTTGGTATTAGTGATTCCTACCTCGGAATGAAATAAGGCTTATCCTAATTCTGCATATTTACCTGAAAGAGGTAGGAGTAACTTGTATTATTGGCATTTGGGAGGTAGAGAGAATGTTAATTTTGGAAACTAGGAGAAAGTTAGAAGGCTCCATATTTAGTTTCACAATGAGTTTAGTTTTTCTAAGGATCAGAAGAGAGAACATGGAGTTATGTGCATTAGATTGAATCAGGGTTTTCAGCAATCAGGGCAACAAATAGAAATATTGAGTTTATTAGGAAGAAATTAAAGTTAAGGGAATAATTCATTACAGTCTTTGGCCTGGATTTTTATTTTGAAAAAAAGAAAAGCACTCTGTGTATATTCTAGAGTTTATAAAAATACACTTCCAGTTGAAGTGGGAATAGGTAGTTAAAGAGAATGAAAAGACAAAAATGGATGGAAATTTTCTGAAGCCATTTGTATTTCTGAGCCTACAAGTCCAGAACACAAACAGATCCTGAGTGAAGCAGACTATTTATTATTATGAGGAAATCACAAGGTTCTACTCTGAGGCTATGGGAAATAGACAAAAATACTCAGAAGGACAAGTAAATAAAGGGATCCTTTATGGAGAGTATATGTTTAAACTGTACATACGGCAAAAAAATGATTTATCAAATAATATCAGCTAAACTATCAGCTAATAATTATTTTCCCTTTGCTTGCAGGAATTGAGACGTTCAAAGGACAGTACTTCCATAGTCGAGACTATAAAAATCCATTCAGTTACACTGGAAAGAGAGTCATTATAATTGGCATTGGGAATTCTGGAGGCGATCTGGCTGTGGAGATTAGCCATGTAGCCAAACAGGTTTGAATCAGTAAATTATTTACTTTGCTTCACCAAGAAAGCTACAGTTGGACTCAATAGAGAGTATGAATACCTGCACATAGCTCATCAGTTCCAAGGGCAAATGGCTTGTATCATTGCCTCACTTGGCAACACTAATTGATAATATGATGGAGCCAAGGTTGCCAGTTAGATTCCCATCATTTATTTGATTGGCCTCACACTAAGGAATAATGTCATGGCCACAGACTATGCTCATAATCCCAATCAGCTGTTCTCTTTGGGTTTTGAAGAAGACCATATAATTGATGGGAGAGCTTGTCAGAATGTAGCACTCAGAAGTATGGATCTTTTGTTGGCCAGCAGAAGTGCTATGCTCTTATTTGAAGGAATGCACATGGGGTTACTGAAAACTTTTCACTTAGAGGATGGTAGGGGAATGTTCCTCTTCACTACCCAACTGGAAAAAAAGAAGCAGTCTAATTTTTCCAAAGACAATATGCTTATCAATGTGAAAGTGTCCAAACTGTAGCACATGTATGTGGCTCACACCAGCCTTTGCATACAGTTAGGTAACAGAGAATGACATTTTCACTAAAGCAAATTCTGTGTCTTTGAGGGTTTTTGTTTGTTTGTTTTGTGTCACAGATTTCAAACTGGAAAGAAAGTGTCTTCATTATAAATTTCTAGAAAAAGACATGTCATTTTTATATTTTGCTATTCATGTCTTTATTGAATCATAACTATCAACAATAGATGTCTGGTTGTTCTTCACTTGACTTTAATTATGCTGTGCTTCTCCACAAATATGTTTTAAATTATTTTTAAAAATAACAGTTAAATGCCACAACTTTGTTAAATGGTCTGTATTCAGAAACTCTATCCAATAATACTTCTCAGTCATATCCCAATTTATCACCAAAAAAGTGATATCAGATGCTCCATGTTTAATTCAACAAGTATTTTTCAGGAAATAATTATATAAATGAGAAAGGATAATAAAATGTGTATGGATATTATGATTAAAAGAATGTGCAGGGGCTTCCAGCCAAGATGGAGACGTAGATAGACACACTGTGCCTCCTCGAACAATGAATAGAAGGACAACAACAATTTAAAAATAAAAAGCAACCAGAACTGAGAGAAATCAAACTGTATGGAAGTCCGACAGCCAAGGAGTTAAAAGAGACACATTTATCCAGACTGGTAGGAGGGGCGGAGAAGACTTGTTGCAAGGCAGCAGATTGCAGGGCAGGGCGGGCAAAGCTGTAGCTGGCTAACAAGGCAGCAGCTGTTGGACCTGGCTAGGTGGCAGCCGGTGGAGTGGGTGGTCTCACATTAGCATGTGGATAAACTGGAAAGAACATCTGGGGAGCAAGACCGATCACACAGCCCAGGGCTCCAGCTTGGGGAAATAAAGGCTCAAACCACTGATTGAAAACACCTATGGGGGTTGAGGCGCCAGTGGGAGAAACTCCCAGTCTCACAGGAGAGTTCGTTGGAGAGATCCACAGAGTGTTAGAATGTACACAAGACCACCCACCCGGAATCAGCACCAGAAGGGACCACGTTGCTTGTGGGTTGTCAGGGAAGTGACTGAAATCTGCAGAGAGCAAAGTGACATTGTTCCCTCTCAGACCCCTCCCCCACATGCAGCATCACAATTCAGCTATGTCGGTTGCCCCACCCTGGTGAACACCTAAGGTTCCACCTTAGGTGAGATTTAAAAAAAAAAAAAAGTGGCCCAAATGAAAGAAGAGATCAAAGCTCCAGAAAAAATACAACTATGTGCACATGAGATAGCCATCCTATCAGATACACAGTTCAAAACACTAGTAATTAGGATGCTCATAGAATTGGTTGAATTTGTTTGCAAATTAGATGAAAATATGAAGGCTACACTAAGTGAAATGAAGGAAAATGTATAGTGAACCAATAGTGATGAGAAGGAAATTGGGACTCAAATCAATAGTGTGGACCAGGAGGAAGAAAGAAACATCCAACCAGAAAAAAATGAAGAAATAAGAATTCAAAAAGAGGAGAGACTTAGGAACCTCTGGAATATCTTTAAATGTTCCAACATCCAAATTATAGGGGTACCAGAAGGGGAAGAAGAACAGCAACAATATTTGAACAAATAATGAAGGAGAACTTCCCCAATCTGGCAAAGGAAAGAGACTTCTAGGAAATCCAGGAAGCTCAGAGAGTCCTGGACCCAAGAAGTCCAGGAGGACCCAAGGAGGAACACACCAAGACACATCATCATTACATTAGCCAAGATTAAAATGAAGGAGAGAAGCTTAAGAGCAGCAAGAGAAAAGGAGACAGTCACCTACAAAGGAATTCCCATCAGACTGTCAGCTGATTTCTCAGAAGAGAACTTGCAGGCAAGAAGGGGCTGGAAAGAAGTATTCCAAGTCATGAAAAGCAAGGACCTACATTCAAGATTGCTCTATCCAGCAAAGCTTTCATTTAGAATGAGAGGGCAGATAAAGTGCTTCCCAGATAAGGTCAAGTTAAAGAAGTTCATCATCACCAAGCCCCTATTATATGAAATGTTAAAGAGATTTATCTTTAAAAAAGATAAAAAAAATTGAACAGTAAAATGATAGCAAACTCACAGTTATTAACAACCACACCTAAAAGGAAAACAAAATAATAAGCAAACAATTAGAACAGGAACAGAACCACAGAAATGTAGATCACATGGAGGGTTACAACAGGGCAGTGGGAGGGAGGGGCAAGGAAGGTACAGAGAATAAGTAGCAGAAATGATAGGTAGAAAGTAGATAGGGGGAGGTTAAGAATAGTATGGGAAATGTAGAAGCCAAAGAACTTATATATAGTTTAATTCATGACACAAGGAGATGAAATAAAGGGGGCGGGGAATGTGGGTTGGAGGGCATATGCAGGGCAGAGGGGAATAAAGGGGGGGAAATGGGACAACTGTAGTAGCATAATCAATAAAATCTATTTTAAAAAAAGGAAGTGCAAGATTTGTGGTGGGGGCCCAAGGTATGAACCTTTTTTAATATTATTGACTCATCAAATGTCCCATTATAAGGTAGCTGGGTTTACATACACTGAAAATTTTTTTACTGCCAAAGAACAAAGCATGCAGAGTGTGTAGAGATAAGATAGCTGTGACTGAGAGAGCCTGGGAAAAGACATAGCAAAGACAGTACTGTCACACCAGTAAAATAAGCTGAAGAAATTCAGTTGCTGGATTCTGACTTTTTGCTTTATGTATTAAATTATATATATGAGACTTCTGCCAAGATGGAGGTATAGGTGGAAACATTGTGCCTTCTCACACAACCAAGTTTAAAGACAACAAAGTTTTAGTAACAAAAACACAGCCAAAACACAGAAAATTGAACTATATGGAAGTTCAACAACAACAAACCCTTCTGCCAGACCGGTAAGAGGGGCGGAGTCAGTGACTGGCAGAGCTGGGTTGCACAGGAAAACTCGACCAGACAGACCCAGGTGCACAAGCAGCAGTTGGTGGATTCCAGGCATGGGGTTTCAACAGGCAGACCCATGAGGTCGCAAGGTGGCAGGCTGACCACGGTCACGCATTCACACACACATAAACCAGTGAAGGAGCGAGCATTGAGACAGACCTTGCAGGCCCCAGTGGCAGGAAGTAGCAGAGGGGACCGCTATTGCCCCTCTTTGACCCCACTCCCACATACAGCATCACAACCCAGCAACCTGGGTGGCCATACCCTGGGGAACATCTAAGGCTCTGCTCCTCATACATAACAGGCACCAACAGACCAAAACATGGCTAAAGGAGAACTCAAAGCCCCAGAGCCCATAACTCTTAAGTGATGAAGAAATAGCCAAACTTTCAGAGGCACAGTTCAAAACACTGGTGATCAGGATGCTCACAGAACTGGTTGATTTTAGTCACAAATTAGAGGAACATATGAAGGCTAAACTAATTGAAATGAAGGGAAATGCACAGGAAACCAATAATGATGAAAAGGAAGCTGGGACTCAAATCAACGGAGCAGACCAGAAAGAAGGAAAAAATGACCAAACAAAAATATGAAGAAACAAGAATTCAAAAAAACGAGGAGAGGCTAAGGAACCTCCAGGACATCTTTAAACACTCCAACATCCAAATTATAGGGGTAGCAGAAGGGGAAGAGCAACAGCCATGAGCGGAAAACTTATTTGAACAAATAATAAAGGAGAACTTCCCCAATCTGGCAAAGGCAATAGACTTCCAGGAAATCCAGGAAGCTCAGAGAGTCCCAAAGAAGTTGGACCCAAGAAGAAGCACACCAAGGCACATCATCATTAAATTAGCCAAGATTAAAATGAAGGGGAGAATCCTAGAAGCAGCAAGAGCTAAGGGGACAGTCAGCTACAAAGGAGTTCCCATCAGACTGTCAGCTGATTTCTCAAAAGAGACCTTACAGGCAAGAAGGGGCTGGAAAGAGGTACTCTAAGTCATGAAATCCAAAGACCTACCACCAAGATTGCTCTATCTAGTAAAGCTTTCATTAAGAATGGAAGGACAGATAAAGTGCTTCTCAGATAAGATCAAATACAAGGAGTTCATCATCACCAAGCCCTTATTATATGAAATGTTAAAGGGACTTATCTAAGAAAAAGAAGATAAAAAAGATGAACAGTGAAAGGACAGCAAACTCACAGTTATTGAGAACCACACCTAAAACAAAAGCAAATTAAGAGGACAGCTAGATCAGGAGCAGAACCATAGAAATGAAGATCATGAGGAGGGTTAGCAACAGGGGAGTGGGAGGAGGAGAAGGAGGTAAAAGGTACAGAAAATAAGTAGCATAAATGGTAGGTAGAAAATAGATAGGGGGAGGGCAAGAATAGTATGGGAAATATAGAATCTAAAGAACTTGAGACACGTGGTCATAAACTAAAGGGGGGAATGGTGGGAGGGTTGTGCAGGGTGGAGGACAATGAAAGGGGGAAATAGAACAACTGTAATGGCATAGTTAATAAATAAATAAATAAATAAATAAATAAATAAA